GGGGGGGGGGTGGAGGGGGGGGGGTTGGGGGGGGGTGTTTGGGGGGTGGGGGGGGGGTGTGGGGTGGTGTGTGGAGGGGGTTTTGTGGGTGTGGGTGTTTGTTGTTGTTTTGGTGGTTGTTTGTTTTGTGTTGTTTGTTGGTTGTTTGTTTTTGGGTGTTTGATTGTTGTTTTTGTTTGTGTGATTTGTGATGTTGTTTTTTGATGTGTGATGTTTTGATTTTTTTTTGTTTGTTGATTTTTTGATTGTTGTTTTGTGGTTTTTTGTTTTGTTTGTTGATTTTCTTGATTGTTTTTGTTGTTTTTGATTTTTGTTTTTTTTGGTTTTTGGTTTGATTGTTTGTATGATTTGTTTTTTTGTGTGTCCGCCCCGCGCCGCTCCGCCGCATTTTGATTTTGTTTTTATCGACGCGCGCGCGTTTTTGTTGTTGGTTGTTTTTTTTTTTTTGATTGATTGTGTTTTTTTTTTGAGGATTTTTTTATTTTTGATTTGATGTGTGTTGGTTTTTGATTGATTTTGATTTTTTTTGTGTTTGTGTGTGATTGATTTTGATTTGTTTTTGATGTTTATTTGTTTTGATTTTTTGATGATTTTTTGTGATATTGAATGTTGTATTTTTGTTTGTGGATTGATGTTTGTTGATTGACATTTGTTGTTGTGATTTTTTGTTTTGATGTTGTGCGCGCGCGCCGCGCGCGCGCGCGCTGTTGTGTATTGTGTGTTGTTTGTTTGATTGTGATTTGTTGTTGTATGATGTTGTTTTTTTTTGTTGTGATTTGATTGATTTTTGATTTTTTTTGATGATTTGATTATGTTTTTTTGTTTTTTTGTTGTGTGATGTGATTTTTGGTTTTTGGTGTGATGTGTGCATTGATGTGTTGATATTTTGTGTGTTTTTGTTTGATTTTTGATTTTGTTGATTGTTGTGATGGTGTTTTTTTGCGCGCGCGCGCGCGCGGCTCCGCGCGCGCAATTTGATTGTTTTTGTGATTGTTGTTGTCTATCCCGTTGTGTTGTTGATTGTGATTGTGTTTGATTTTGTGTTTTTGGTGCGCGCCCGGCCCGGATTTTTTGAGTTTTGTTTTGTATGTGTATGTGTGTATGTGTGTGTATGTGTGTGTATGAGTGTGCTTTGTGGATGTGGTGTGTGTATGTCGTGTAGTGTCTTGTGTGTGTGTGTGTGTGGTGTGTGGTGAATGTGTGTGTGTATGTGTGGTGTTGGTGTTGTTGTATGTGTGTGTGTTTTGTAATGTGTGTGTTGTGTTTGTGTGTGTATGGGGGTGTAATGTGTGTGTGTGTGTGTTTGAGTGTGTTTTGTGTGTCTGTGTCAACACGTATCAATGTTAATCCTCCGTGTTATCTTGTATGTTGTGATCCATGGATCCCTCTCGGTTCACCATTCTCTTAAATTTTCTGTTTCTCTTGTCTTACAAAAGCATTCTCGCTGTTTCTGTATTGTAGTACTTATTTTGTTGGGAACCTCTACACTTTTGTCAAATTTTGGAATATGGGGTTTGTTAAAGGGTACAGCTTCCTTCTAATGTGTGAACCACCTCAGGTTGTTGAAGGAAGACAGAACAGCTGTGTGAACCACCACAGGTGTTGAAAGGTGAGTAACAGAAAACATCACTGTGTGAACCACCACAGGTCGTTTTGAAGGAAGTCAAAGTAACAGAACACTGTGGTGAAACCTATCACAGGAGTTGTTGAAAGGGAAGTAACAGAACACCTGTGTGAACAACCACAGGTGTTGAAGAAGGTAACGAACACCTGTGTTGAACCCACACAGGTGTTGAAGAGGTAACATAAACACCTGTGTGACCAATCACAGGTGTGCAATCACAGTCACCATCAATTTATTGTGTTCATGTCAATTACTAGTGCTGGAAAAAAGTGTTGGGAGTAATCTCCCCAACTCAGGCTGGGGAGAGAGAGAGAGAGCAGAGTGAGAGAGAGAGAGAGCAGAGAGAGCGAGGAGAGAGAGGTGAGAGAGAGGAGAAGGCGAACGGGGGGGGGAAGGGAGAGATAGAGAGTGAGAGAGAGAGAGATGATGAGAGAGAGGAGAGAGAGAAAGAAGAAAGAGAGGCAGTAATCTCCCATTGGTGAGGGATGGATCATGCTCGAACAATCCTGTCGATTAGCACATGTTTTCTCAGCTTCTGAGAAGCAGGTCTGGTGTAGAGGGAAAACATCAGTGTAGTGGAACCCAGTCTCTCTCTCTGTCTCTCTTCTCTGTCTCTCCTCTCTGTCTCTCTCTCTTGTATCTCTCTCTGTTTCTCTCTCTCTGTCTCACTATCTGTCTCTTCTCTGCTACGCTCTCTGTCTCTCTTCTCTGTCTCTCTCTCTCTGTCTCTGTCTTCTCTGTCCTCTCTGTCTTCATCTCTCTTCTCTCTGTCTTCTCTCTGTCTCTCTGTCTTTCTCTTGTCTCTGTCTGTTTGTCTGTCTGTCTGTCTGTCTCTATCTATCTCTCTCTTCTCTCTCTCTCTCTCTCTCTCTTCTCTCATCTCTCTATCTCACTATCTCTCTCTCTCTCTCACTCTCTCCCTCCCTCATTTCAATATCTTAAACTACTACTTCGACGCGGTTGGATGCTACCTTGAAACTACGTTTATTTGGTGGATTGACTACCTTGATACTACGTCTGGTGGATTGACTACTTGAAACTACGTCTGGTGGATGACTACCCTTGAAAATACAGTCTGGTGGTGGATTTGACTACTTGAAACTACGTCTGGAGGATTTAACTACCTTGTAATACGTTGGTGGATTGACTACCTTGAAAACTAGTCTGGTGGATTGTTACTTGAACGACGTTTGGTGGATTGACTCCACTTGAAACTACGTCTTGTGGATTGACTACCTTGAACTAGTCTGGTGGACTGACCTACCTTGAAACTACGTCTGGTGGTTTTGACTACCTTGAAACTACGTCTAGTGATTGACGACCTTGAAACTACAGTCTGATGGATTGATACCTTGAAAACTACGTCAGTTGGATGACTCCTTGAAACTTTGTCTGGTGGATTGCTACCTTGAAACTACGTTCTCGGTGGATTGACTACCTTGAAACTTACGTCTGAGTTGGATTGACATACCTTGAAACTACGTCTGTGGATTGACTACCTTGATACTACGTCTGGTGGATTGAACTACCTTGAAAATACGTCTGGTGGATTGACTAACCTTAGAAACTACGTCTGGTGGATTTGACTCCTTGAAACTACGTCTGATGGGTTGACTACTTGAAACTACGTTGGTGGACACTGACTTCCTTGAAACTCGTCTGTGGATTGATTACTTGAAACTTCGTCTGGTGGATTGACTACCTTGAAACTACTCTGGTGGATTGACTACCGTGAAAACTACGTACTGGTGGATTGACTACCTTTCGGGTTTTGAAACTTACGTCTGTTGGATTGACTACCTGTGATAACTACGTATGGTGGATTGATCCTTGAAACTAAGTCTTTGGATTGGACTACCTTGAACTACGTCTGGTGGATTGACTACTTGATAACTACGTCGTTTCTTTGTTGGTTGTACTACCTAGAAAACAGTCTGGTGGTTAAATTGACTACTTGAAAAACTACGTCTGGTGGATTGGACTTACTTGAAACTACGGTTGGTGGTTTGACTTTACTTGAAAACTACATCTGGTGGATTGACTTCTTGAAACTACGTCTGGTGGACTGACTACCTTGAAACTTACGTCTGGTGGATTGACTACTTGAAACTACGTCTGTATGGATTGACTACCTTGTGAAACTACGTTGGTGGATTGACTACCTTGAAACTACGTCGTTGGTTTACTACCTTGAAACTACGTCTGGTGGATTGATACCTTGAAAAAAACTACGTCTGGTGGGTTTTACTACCTTGAAACTTAAGTCTGTTGGATTGACTTACCTTGAACTACGTACTGGGTGGATTGAACTACCTTGAAACTACGTCTGTTGGATTGAACTGACCTTGAAACTACGTCTGGTGGACTGATACCTTGAAACACGTCTGATGGCATTGACTACCTTGAAACTACGTCTGTTGGATTGGACTACCTTGAAACTACGTCTTGTTGGTTTGGACTACTTAAAACTACGTCAGGTGGATTGACTACTTGGAAACTACGTCTGTGGGTTTGACTACCTTGAACTACGTATGGTGGACTGACTACCTTGAAATACGTCTGTTGGATTGACTACCTCACTTCAAACTACGTATGGTGGACGACTACCTTGACCTACGTCTGTTGATTGACTACTACAAACTACGTCCGGTGGATTGACTACCTTGTAAACTTTCGTCTGTTGGATTGACTACCTTAAAATACGTCGGGTGGGACTGACTACCTTGAAACTACGTCTGGTTGACTGACTACTTGTAACTACGTTCTGTTGGATGATACCTTGAAACTACGTCTGGTGGACTGACTACCTGGAAACTACGTTCTGGTGGGCTGACACCTGAACTACGTCTGGTGGAATTGACTACCTTGAACACGTCTGGTGGATTGACTACCTTGAAACTACGTCTGGTGGATGAATACCTGTGAAACTACGGCTGGTGAGTGACTGCCCTTGAACTGGCGCTGGTTGATGACTACCTTGGAAAATCGTTCTGGTGGATTGACTACCTTGAAACTACGTCTGGTGGATTGACTACCTTGAAACTACGTCTGGTGGATTGACTACCTTGAAACTACGTCTGGTGGATTGACTACCTTGAAACTACGTCTGGTGGATTGACTGCCTTGAAAACTACGTCTTGGTGGACCACTGGACTACCTTGATAACTACGTCCGGTGGATTGGAGTACCTTGTAAACTACGTCTGGTGGAATTGCTACCTTGAAACTACGTCTGGTGGATTGACTACCTTGAAACTACGTCTGGTGGACTGACTACCTTGAAACTACGTCTGGTGGACTGACTACCTTGAAACTACGTCTGGTGGATTGACTTCCTTGCGAAACTACGTCTGACGGACTGTCTACTTTGATACTAC